GCATTGTTCCCATCACCGTGGGAACACAATAAATGGATGTGTAAATACATGTATTTTACAGCATTCAGAAATGATGGATAGGCTCACATCCTTCCCTAACATTCTTGTTGATCTTTAACTACCACAAAACCAGGCAGCAACAGGTGCTTTGCTCTTTTGTTTTAGCACAATAGGTTCAGAAATCCCTGTTGGGCAAGACCTGAGTGGCCCTGGGGGACAGAATAGCTCTCCTGCAGCCTTGGCTGGAAGCAAGAAAATCTGAAGAGAATATGGATGCTCCAGTATCCAATATTCAGTCTCAGTAACATCACAGCCCACTCACTCTGGAGCAGCTCATGTATTACAGAACAGATCTCCTAAGAGAGATGCTCACATGAGCTCAGAACCCACATTTGTGCCAGGTTTTTGAAAGAACCTGGATCCTGTTTAGATAACAAAATAAATGGTCGTGATACACTGAGAGCGTTAAATATGAAAAAGGGTATTGAACAGTTTTTGAGATGGCAAGAATTTTAGCTGACATGCTTAAACAATCTGTCTCCTAACAAAAGGAAATTTTTAAATGAGAGTTTTAAAAGGCATCTAAGTGACTATGACTCTCAGGTACCCAGTGCTCACTAGACTGAAATGTATGAGAATTGCAGAGATCTCTTGAGTTCCCTTAAATATGCTGCAGCCAGACCTGAGCAGCTGTACTAGCCTTTCCCACTGTGTGCTGGAAGCTCTGGGGCCTGTGGATGGATGGAACAACACTGAAAATCTGTGATTGCTATTGATAATTACCTGATCTGTCACTGATAATTACCTTATCTGTCCTATTCATGCAGCAAATGTGTTATAAAAGAGAAGGGGCTGTCAGTATGCTCCCCATGAAACTCCGCATATGGGCAAGTATGCCCGTAATAAAATGCTGCATAAGACTTTATCCTCCTTGGAAACTATGGAAGGACACTTCCTGTACTTTGTCTTTCAGGAACAATGCTTAGTTAAGCTTCTAGAATAGTTGTCAAGATGATTATGGGTGAAGAAAGCCCATAAAAATGTTGAAGATCATCAAACTATGTGAACTGTGAGTTGTATAGTAGTGGACATTCACTGACTGCATCCTGTAAGACAGGAAAAACAAAGTTTAAGCGGGGTGGATTCAAAGGGGGAAAAAAGGATGATTCTGGAGTGCAGACAACTGGTTCTGCATTCTTGTTATAGAAATGTATGTAGAAATAATATTTTTATAAAATAACTGAGGAGGAGCATTAACTGAAAACTGTATTTTTAGGGAGCATTGACTGTATCTGGTCTTCCTACCATTATAAGTGCTCCAGCAGTACAGCTCTCCCCAGACAGCTGCCATTGGAAGTTGGGACAGCCTCAGGAGATACCCTGGAGAGTGGGTTGCAGCGTCCTGGGAAATCACCCTGTTCACCACAATAGATACAGAGAATCAAAAGTGTCTCTGACAGCCACAGCTGCTGTATTTTGGTCACAGGACTTTTTATAAAAGGGCAATTATGGATTCAGATAGCTACTGTCATAAAAATTGTAAATGCTGTATGGGATCCCAAGAGATTACTTATTTCACCTTCCTGTCCTGAAAGGGCTCTAATGATGGAGATATCATGGTCTCTCTGGGAAGTCTGATTGGTTTACAGCACTTCACTATCTACATAATGTCTAACCATAGCACATTAGGAGTCTGAACCCATGATTTCTTGTCTTATCCAGAACATTCATAAAGAACAGATTGTTTTTTTACTTTATTCATCAGGCTGTGAAAAATGTTGCCATATAAAAAATCATAGAATCATACAATATTTTAGGTCAGAAGGGACCCCGTGGAATTGCCTAATCCAACCTCCTGCTCAAAGCAGGGCTAACTTCCAAGGTAGCACAAGACCTCGTCCAGTTGAGTTTTGACTATTTCTGGGGACAAAGATAGCACAGTGCCTCCAGCCTCTTTCATCAGCCTCTCATGACCGTGGATTGGCTCAATTTTTTTGTAACAGGATGGTATTGTGTTTAGGTAGCTGATTATCTCAGCTTAAGTGCTGTATTTTGCATTTGATCACATTGAATCCCATACCATTTATTTCTGATCCTATTTCAGTCTGGCAGGCCATTTTGAATTACAAACTTTTAGCATACTAGCAGCCTTTCCTGGAATGATATTGTCTGTACATTCCATGGTAAAGCTCTCTTCTGAAAACATAACACCCACTTTGATGGAGGGACATAGAGGTTCAATTTGTTTGCACCTCTCTCCTGGAATGATGATGAAAGTTTAGAGAAAGCATCAGTCTGCACTGGTCTTTGCTAATAATTGGACTTTGTAAAGATAAAACAACAAATGGAATTGATTCAAAATCTATATAAGGATGATTCCAGTGTGTTCAGCATGTTTGAGATCAAGCATGAGACAAGTTAGCAGCAGAGACAGTTGATCTGGGGGCTTTAGAGAAAGAATGTTTAAGTTGATTTACTTAGAATTATTTCGTTTTTAAGTCTTGGTTTGAAAACTGGCTCTTGGTGGGAATTCTGCACACAATGAGCATGTTTGGCCTTGAGCACATGTGTCTGGTTTTAGTTAAGCCAGGCTGGCCACACTCATTCCACTCTGCTCATGATCTCATTCCATGCTCCTTGTCATGGTATCTGCACACCATCCAGCAATATATTAAAGCATGAGTAACGTGTCTTATGTTGATTATTCTGTCACCAAGGGAGAAATGTGTCTTGTCTGGTAGGGAACTCAGATTGTTTTAAACAAAGCTCTATACTGACGCTGGAGAAAAGTCAAGTGCTGCGCCTTGTATTAGTAGAAAGAATTGGCAAGGTGTCTGCTGACCCTTGGGTAAGGCCATCTTGGGACCAGCTACAAGCAGAGAAAACCATGGTTCCTACACTGCTGAGCTCTCCCTGCACTGTGGAAAGGCCATTTGCCCTGCTGCCAGCATGCTTCATCAGCTCATATGCTGTGATACTTGGGGCACCTCCAAATTCTCCTCTTAGTCCAGGAAGAGAAACGCTCCTAACAGTCTTTATTTTGCCTTTAATGCAATGACCAGGTTGGTGTTAGAAATGCAATGTGCTGTGTGTCAGCCGAGTGGAAGAAATGTCTCCAGGCTGTAGGGAGGAGAGGAAAGGCTTGAAAAATTTGTTCAGCTGTTCAGTGTTCATATTTGTCTGTGCAGTGAACGAGCTGAACCCTGTGCCCCTGCTGGGCCTGTGTTCAGTGTGTGTTACCACAGGGCAAGTTTTCTGCTTCGGTCATCTGTCAGACTGGAGGGGAAGGGCTCTTGCTAGTAGCTGTCATTAGAGGCTGCATCATTCTCTTTGCTTATTTACTGAGCTGAACTCCAGCCTCAGCTCCGTCTGTGTGATAAAGGAGGTACCTCTCTACAGTATCTCAAGTGTGAGAGCTCCAAAGCCCTTTACAGAGTCTAATTTAACTTCAGCTCGTGCCTGGAAGCAAAGTGCTCCTTTTTTTGGAGAGGGGTGAAACTGAGGGACTGAAGGCTGAGACTAATTGCTTCTCCTCTCATACACAGTCCTCTAAAGAGATTTTGACTCAAACATGATCCCTTCTCAGTTCCTGTGCTCCACTTTCACTGCTCAGTCTTGTTCAGCTAAAAAGAGCAGGAGAATATGTATTTTTGCTGTTTTGCACAATCCACAGCTGGCACTTGCAGTCCCTGTCTCCCAGGTTGGGTCAGTAGCCTCCCTGCAAATAGGAACTGAAGGACCTTTCTGGCACATAGGGTTTTCCTGACCTCCCACTGCTGCTTTTTCTCTGGAGAATAGCCTCCAACTCATTGAGGACACTGTGGATCCAAACCCTCTGTGTCTCTGGCTCCTTATATGGTAACATGAAGAAGTCTGAGCATTTTAGTTCTGATTTGGAGTTACCCTGGTTGTCTTCTCAGCTGGGGAGCTAGAAACTTTAAAACCTTAGGCAAATTGGTTCTTACCACCAGGAAACCATCCTCTTAGTTCAAGCCTGTGTGTGCTGCTGTCTCACCACTGGCTTAGCAAAGACCAGGCTGCATTGGCAGCAGTGAAAGTCCCCTACAAAACCTTTGCAGAAGGTAGAGTTTTAAGCATTCCAGTTTTGTTCCCTTCTGAAAGGGGCTTTAAGATATGTGTTGTTATATCTTAAACAGAAGAAAGAGGCTGAGATGGAAGGAGGGTCCCACAGGCTCTGGGACAGAGGTGGCTTCTCTGGCAAAGAGCACACTAATACAAAGTTTAGGATGGGCAGTGAGAGCAGGAGGTAACAGGTCTGGGGACATCTAGAAGAGACCTGAAGAAGCTTTATACTCCTGAGCCATCACGTCCAGACATGCAAGTAGAGAAAACATTTCTGAATGAGGGAGAGGTGTCCTTGTTCATCCTAGATGCAAATGCATTTTGGCAATTTATCCCTACCTCTGACAGAAGACACCCAAGAAAGAGGCAGAGCAGCAAGCATAGCTAAGGTTTCCTGGTTGCCAGACCCTCATGTTTGCTTCTGGGAAGTCCTTGAGTGACTTTGCATGAATTTATCAAAGCCTGGAGTGGTGCAGTTTTGCACTAGGTTAGCGAAGAGTGCTTTGACAAAGTGATGTGTTCTTGTGCTGGAGTCCAGCCCAGCCTTCTGCAGGCTGTGTCCTCTACTGCTACAAGTCTGTAGCTGGCTCTAGTACTGGGGGCACATATGAGCATGAAGCCACATGTGAAGTAACTGCACTAAATGATTTGAGACTCATTTAAGGGCAGAAACAAAGTGCTATGGTAGCTGAGGGAGCTCCAGCAAATTTCAGGGGTTGTGGGAGTTTGATGTCTCTTCAGGACCAGCTGCTAGCATTAAAAAAAGGCATATGAAGATTCTTTTATCTCCTCCCTAGATTTCATGCTGATGAAACTAATCCTGTCAAGCACTGAGAGCTGCAAGCCCTGCCATGTGTCCCCAGTGCCTTGTCAGCCTCAATTTTTAAAAGTAACCATAGATTTCTTTCATGGTACAGGTTCCACCATATTAGCAGAGCGGCTGGGATTGTCGACACCGAGCTCGCCCACATCAACACCCAATTCCCCCACCGTCCTCTGCAGTGGCGTCTCTGGCCCCTTATTGTCTACGTGTGGCTCTGGCCCCCTCTGCAGCTCTATCAGTGGTAAGAGAGGTGGGATCCCCTGCTGCCTTTCCTTTGCCTCCTTTCATAGTCTCACACTTGTCTCCCTGAAGGGCTCTAAAACCACAATAATTGACAGATTATTATTATCCCATCAGCTCCCCTGGGGAGGCAGGGAGAGCCTCTGCAAGGGCTATTTTCAGTCTGTTTTATGTGGAAGCCGCTTGGATGCCTAGACAGCAATATTTCTCTAACCCTTTTCATCATGAAAGGTCCCAAGGGGAGCAGCGGATTTTCTGCTGCATGCGTGGCCCCGTGACACAGAGCTCCTTCTGGAGAGCTGTGTGGCACTGACACATCTCAGGCTTGGACTGGAGCTAAAGGTCTGCCTACACCTCCCCTTTCTCCCTCCACACACCTTCAGTAAAACACAGTACTACTATTTCTAATGTGCCAATGTAGTATATGATATTTAGATAAATGCACACGCACTAAAATGGTGTAGGCTGTTCTACAGCACTTTTAAAACTCCAGACACCTGCACAATCCCAAGGCACTGATGGTGGGATACATAACTTACCAAATCCTTGTTGCATGGGAACAGCTGTCTCTTGGCTTGCTCTTTGTGGGCAGAAGACCCCAGTAAATGTTGCCTTTCTGCTTCCTTGAGCCTTGGCATGTAACCAGGACTTGGTGAGTAGGACAGCAGGTCACAGGAAGGAACCCTGGTCCTGGAGCATGCATTTTTCCTAGGGAAAAAGTTCCTCCCTTTGTGGCTGCAGGACAGAAATCACCTTGGGATGTCAGGAAGCAAGAAGAGTGACCATGTTTTTTTGTGTTGCAGGCACAGCTCCCAACTCTCCAAGCAGCTTGCCTGAGTCACCCATCTCCCCATCCGTCTCAGGGCCCTGGGTAGATGAATGCACCATCTGCTATGAGAACGTGGTAGACACAGTCATTTACTCCTGTGGACACATGTGTCTCTGCTATTCATGTGGGCTGAAGCTCAAGAAGATGGCCAATGCCTGCTGCCCCATTTGCAGACGGGCCATCAAAGATATCATCAAAACGTACCGCAGCACTTAGAGCAGCAGCAGATGCTGTGGTGGGGACTGGGCACGTGGGGAGGAGGCTGTGAAACAACATAGGCCTACCACTTGATCTTTATCCATCACCCAGGAGATTCAAAACCCGTCACCCACCACCACCCTGACCGCCTCTTCCATGGACAACAGATGAGACAAGCTTAGACGCTGCTCTTCTACTCCCCAAGCAAGCCCTGGGGCTGAACTCCAGTGTCAGGGAAGTCGCTATGGACTATTCTCCCTTGTGATTTTAAATTTTATCTCAAAAAATGCCAGCTGGTGCAATCATCCCTTTCCACACCATGCACAGCAGAGGCGAGTCTCTACTCTTTAGCATAGACAGCAAGTGGTACACATCTTCTTCCAGAGGCACCCCACATGCAGAGGCAGCTTGGCAGAAGAGAAGAAGCGAGCAAGGTGTTGCTGTGTACAACCAGCCTGACCAGAGGAGGCTCCTTAGGATGGAGCAAGGGAAGCATTGACCCAGCGAAGGAGGTGCAGCAAGCACACCTACAGCAGAGAGGCTGGCTGGGGCCAGTGCAGAAAAGAACCCAAGATTTGTGAAGCAAAACCCACCCCATCTCTGCAGACAGAAGAGCAGACCCGTGGCAGCCCCTTGAGGGTTGTCCCCAGCTCCTCCATTGCCATTCTCTGACAGAGGCTTTCATGGTGGGTTTGGCGGAACACTGGCAACAGCTCTGCTCCCTCTCAGCAGCATCAGCCACCTCCTGTCACCACCCTGCTGCATGACGAGCAGCTCTCAAACCCCACCACCACCAACTTGCGTGTGGTCCCCACACAGCACAAGGGATTCAGCAGCATCTCTTCTCCCATGCACCTGTGGGAGAGGAAACATAACTCCCTCAACCTTTCTCCCCCTACCATCCAGACAGCACTTATGAGGAAAAAACCCAGCCTCACCGGGGAAGAATGTATAAACCCACACATCTGTGGGTTACCTTTACTGGTAACTTTATCACTGTGCTTTAAGACAAAACCAGCCGGGTGGTACTCAGCTCTTCACAGCCATACCGGCAGGACACGGCTGTCCTTATGTGTTAGGAAGTAAGGAATGAGAAAAAAACTTGAGGGGTTTGGTTTGCTTTGGTTTATTTAAACAAATCTCCTTCTCTCCTGCCTGAGTCAGGAACCTGGCTGTGCCCAGCAGGAACAATGGTGATTCCCATGCAAACAACTGCTGCTCTGCCATGGCCACAGGTGTGACCCAGGGCTGCTGGCCCTTGGGTCTGGGCCGGGTGGCTGGGCAGCAGTAGAAGCTGTCTGCCTTCCTTCCCACGCATCCTGCTGCCTTCTGGGCTGCAGGAGAGGGAGAGACTGTGTCTGGGTCCTGAGAGGGAGTCAGGGCTAGGGTGCCACAGCAGTGGAGTTTGCCTCCACCATATCACCCATCTGGCAGAGCAGGGGAGGCTGTGGAGTCACATCCTTTTCTTGCATGCCAGCATTTGGCCATTGATGGGATAGAGGGGAACAGTGTGCTGTAGGGAGAACAGCATTTAATGCACACATGAACTTGCTGCAGGGGACATCATGCCCCCCTCCCTGTCCCCCCACAGCAGGTGGGTTTTTACCACCCACACTGGCAGAGGCTGCTCCTAAAAACACCTGGAAAACACATCCTTGCTCTGTCTCTCAAAGAGATGCAAAAAGAGACTACTCACTGGGGAGTGCATTGTAGAGCCTTTCTCTGAAGGTGCCACCAGCACTGCAGCCTACCTGGGGCTCTGCAGCTCCCCCCAGCCTGCCCTGCTGAGCTTGAACGCTGATACTCTAGGTGACAGGGATTTATGTTATTTCCTGGCATACCTCTGATGTACAACCCAAACCCAGCCCTGGCCCAGCTCCAGAGCTCATGGCTCCCATTCCAAGATGCCCTCACTGAGGGACAGGAGGAGGCTGGGAGGCAGAACCTGGGGGAAGCCAGAGCAGCCCTGCAAGGAGCACAGCCGGTCCTCAGGCACCCCAGCCAGCTCTGACTGTGACCAGCACACACAGGGAGCTTTTCTCAGTAGTTACACAAACTCGAGTGCAAAGATTTCAAAAAGGAGGAACCCAAGAGGGAAGAAGGTATTGATGAAATAGTGGATGTGGGGAAACGTGCAATAAGCAGCCTCCCGAGCCTTCACCACACCAGTGGGACCAGTCCTCCTCCATGCAGGGAAAGCCAAGGGGTATATTTTATTTTTCAAGAAATTCCATCCATGGGTTCCAGTGCAGTGGTGTAAATTCCCTTTTCACCTTTTCAATTGAGAGTGTTTTAATATATTAACTGTGTTTGTTTTACTGTGGACCAAACTCTAGCAGTTAGGAGAAGCTGAAAGCTCCCCAGCATCTGAGTTCTAAAATTGGGGTTCAGTCCTACCCCTGCATAGGCTGGCCTCCAGCTGGAAGCAGGGAGGAGAAAAAGGCTCTCTCCAGGGAGGAAAAAAAAACCAGCAAAATCAGTAAAAATAACAAAAATCCTAATCCTTTGTTTTGTTTGACTGGTGTAGGTTCCCATGTACCTCTGTGTTGTGTCATCTGCATTTCATTGCTTTACTTTAAGATGTTTTGTGTTCTGTTTAAAGACAAGAATAACTCATTGTGAAAAATTAATTGGATAACTGTGATCGTGAATAAAGTTGATTTAGATATCCTGCAGCAGCATAGCTGACTCGAGTCCACTTTACCACTTCATAAGAGCAGCAGAACACGATGGCCAGCACAGTGAGAGGCTGAGGTGGAAGCAAGGGTGGCATGAGAGGCTTGTGCTTAGGGGGAGCTGGGTGGAGAGATCTCAGGCTTTCCTTCAGTGTTTGAGGGTGGAAGAGTGCTGGGAGGTGGATATTAATATCCTCTTGGCGGACACCACACACACATAAGGAATAAAGGAAAGCACAGAAGTAAAAGCAAGGGCTAACAGCATTCCTGAAAGCTAGGCCCACAATCCCAAGCCTCTTCTCCCTCCCCAAAGAGAGGTCACAGCTTCTTTACTCTCACTGTCTTGTTTACAGTCTCTTCTGCAACCACAAAAAAGCGCCCTCCACCAGCACAAGAGAATGTGTACTGTGAGGAAACCCAGGACACGTTGCTCAGCCTAGGAGGGGCAGGTAGGGTGGCTGAAGATGAGGCAGAGCAGTACCATTCCAGCCCTGAACTGAGCAACACGTTGAGAAGGCACACTGACAATGTGGTCTGAACAAGTGAGATGCTGAGGTAAGATGCAGATGCTTCCCGAGTATGTAGCAAGGGACACAGACTCAAAGGGAATTTGGGCTCTTCAAAGGTGATGCCAGTTTCCTCAAAACCCACTCCTGTGTTGCAGGTATCTGCTCAGGAGGACACTTACAATACAACAAATGTGAGATCTTCCTCTCATCTTTTTAACTATTCAGTAGATGAGAGACTATCTGGATCACACTCTTGTCACGGGACATATTTGAGGTGGCATCTCCCTCAGTGTGGGTGTTCCATCTGCCAAGGGTCAGGGACATCCCAGGACATCACCAGGAGTTGTGTCCTCAGCTGCTCCAGTTGAAGCCATTCCACTCTAACAGTTCCTCAGTGGCCTAAACCATTCCAGGCTGGGTGAAGCAAAACCACTTCTCCAACACCAGCCTGAGGAGATCCCAGCTGTTGGGACAAGGCAAGTCTGCAGAGCTGTGTGCTGCCCTCCAAGAGCTGTTCCAGCTCCTGTCTTTCCTGGGATTGGAGCACCCCTAGTGGGTCTGGAAAGTCTCCTCATTCCCTCAGGAATGAGGGACAGGGTTGCACAACACAGAATGTCCTGGAAACTGGTGGCACTGACTTGCTGGAACACTGCCACAGATTAGGATGAGTCAAGTGCTAACGCTTTGGGCCAAACTCGGATCTTCCCCTTCCTTGGCAAGAGGGACCATGGCACATCCACCAGGTGTTCCTCCTGACAGCCTCAGCCTGCGCAGCCCCTCATGCAGCTGCCACTTGCAACAGCCCCAGCGAGCTTCGCATCCTCATCTGCCGAGCATCACTGGAGGCACCCTGCCCTGCCCTCCGCAGGCCACCACCATCACCTCACCACAACCCAACCAGAGCTGCAATTTCGCCATTGCTCCCAAGCTATTCTCCACCAAGACCAAGTGTGTGGAGCAGAACTGACCTTCCCCAGCGAGGGAACGCCGGCAGCGCGGGGCTGGTCCCGGCACAGCCCGCGGCGGCCGAGAGGAGGCGGAGGAAGATGAGAGGGAGGATGCTCCGAAAGCGGTCCGGGAGCTGCAGCGCTGGGCCGGCATCGCCACCTGGTGCTCAATGCCCGGCCCGGAACTCAGCCCCCGCTCCTCCCGACATCGATTTTAACAAACACTGCAAATACACTAAAGTAGGACCAGAAAAATTCAGTCTTGAGTGCAGCACAATTCTGGTAGTGGTTCTCCGAGAAAAATGGGCAAGAAGGGAGCAATTAACAGTGAGTTACAGTGTAGAAGGGGATACATTAGTAAATACTGATTGCCAGCCCAAGAAAACCCTTTCAAGCTGTTTGGCTCACTCAACACAAAGGGAAGACAGGGCACAGCTTCCAGTCCCACTTGCCACTGTGTTCGTGCCCAGGACTGTGTGCTGTATCAGATTCAATACCTGGCATCCTTCAGACAGCTGGGGTGCCTGAACAGGACTCCTTGTGCACCATCCACCTACATGCCAGCCCAGAGGAACATCTCTTCCGGTCAGGCTGGGAACCGAAGAGTTAAAAACCAACCTTGTTACCCTCTACTATTAGATCCCTTGTTATAACTTCCTCCCCCAATATACCCCCTAATCCACTGCCTTCGGCACCCCCAAGAGATGTCCTTGCATAAGGAGAGGGGATCCATTACCAGAAACTTCAGTTTTACCTGTCTGTGGCTTTGCATAGCAATGACCTTCTACTTGTTGAGCTATTTGGGCCTCCAACCTTCAAAGACAGGTAAGAGCAGTGGCCAGAAACCTTGCAGGATCAGACCTTGGTATCCCACGTTCAAGCACCACCTGCTCTGCACACTGCACACAGAGCTCATCTCACCTTGCAGAGCAACCCTAATCACAGAACCAAAGCACCACTTCTGTAAAAGCATGATTTTTCTTCTTATTTGGAACCTATCCTTCTCCAAGAAACATCCTTCTCTGAGTACTGTAAACCTTAAGAACTTGTACAACACAGAAGTTCTTCATGTTTGAGGGCTGAGGTGACTTTTCCATAAACTTCGTAGAATAGAAAACCACAAAAATACAGCATACAGCAACAACTTC